AACAAACGAGACAACATGGCCTTTCACCTGTGACCCATCTCGAAAGGGTTAATATACTTGTTAAAAAAACATTTCTAATCATACACCATAACACTGCTCTACCAGTATCTTTTCCAAATAATGCACAATGTATTGTGCATGTAATGCACTTAGCAACCAATCAGTGCATGTGCATCACACAATTGTCTGAGAGAAAAGTGTCTTGCTGCCGAAATTTTTAAACCTCCACCCATTACTGAATAGTTTGTTTTTGGATACCTTTCATTAATAGCAATTTTTTTCTTTTCAATACTGAAACAACTAAAAGCTAAAGTTAATATTAAAATAATAATAATAATAAAATCCCCATGAGCTGAGACCCCTTAAGCTGCTCAGGGCTCTAAGCAATTGCTTAGTCTGCTTATGCCTATCACCCTCACTGCCTGAAACACATTAGTAACAAGGGTCCAATTTGACTGAATTCCATTAATAACTGTTTGTGTTATCTCACCTAACCACTCTGTAATCCAATTAACTAGTCTTTACCCATCCCCACTACTGTGATTTTTTTAGTTAATATTCTTTGTGGCACTTGATCACTAAATCCATCCCCTTCAAAAACAGGAGTAACATTAGCAACTTTCCAATCCCCAGGCTGTCTATTTACTTACCAAAAGAAATGAAAAAGAGAGAAGCTACCTATCTGATCTTTAACTCCTTTAAAACCATTACAGAAAATTCTCTGTTCCTCGTGATTTATTCTAAAGCTTTCTGTCTTCTTAATTAACCTACAAATTAATATCCACATGATTCAGGTCAATCCCAGTATTTCCCAAAAAAATGCTCAACAGTTGAAATATTATTAAGATCCTCTCTTGTAAATTCAGATGAAAAATAAACATTACAAGCTGATGACAATTAACTGTACGGTCACTAATTGGTAGAAACAAAAACTGCTTGTAATTTACAGATAGCAAAATTCTTCCTGTTACTAATACACTAACTGCATGGTTTATGTCACATATCAGGAGCTCATTGAAACAGAAGTCACTCCTAGCATCTACCTTTATCTAATGCCTTCAAATCTAGAAAAGAATCTTTATTATCTTCATATTCTACCATGAAAAATATATACTAATTGTACTTTATAGTTAATTAACACCAAAAAATTATGAGTCAATTTGGGCACCGATACAACTGAAGTGTCTACCCACAAATTCACTTTGCCAAAAAATCTCCAGAATATAAAGCTTTAAGCTTCAGTCAACATAAATACAGAAAATGTTTATACATCAATGCTATAAAAACAAGATTCAATGTGATAACCAAAATAAAAGTCTCTATGGGCAAGTTATTAAGTATTAAAACACTGCATCAGCAACTTAAAATAATTTAATGTGACCTAAGTCTATTTTACAGTGAAATCAGTAATTTATTATTTTTGTGACAAATGTTATATTTTGTATCATAAAATGACAAAGTAGTTTTAATAACCTGCTTTTATGTTTGTAACATAGGCTGATCGGCCTTTAATGAGGTTCCATGTTCTTAGAGTTTTGTCTTTCCCTATACTCAACAGTAGTTTTCCTGTAGGGTGAGCTGACAGACTGATGATCCCATCTCTGGAAAAAATTCAAACATGCTCAGTACACAGATATGACAACTAAATGTTCTGATTTCTGATACTGTAAGCTCATAGTTACTTTAAATGACCATCAATTCCTCTTTATAAGATAGAAAATGCTGCAGTGTAACAAAATTAATTGCCTCTAACAATAACCCTCACATTAAAATATGGAATTAAATCAATCTATATGACTCAACTTCCTTGGACTTTAATGACAGTATTATAAAGAAATAGCAAATACAAAGCCTGTTTGTTAACTCTTTCAGCATGGGCTCAGTCCCTGGGACTGACCTCGTAACTATATTGTGCTTGTTATAGTTTTCATGCTATAACTTTTAAATTAGTAAGTGTATGTTTACCAAATTTGGAAAATTATCAGTAAGCATTACAATGCTTTCATACGTAAAATATAATTTTTTTTTATTAAGTCTTAAGATTTGTAAAGCAATGTTTTTCTCATGCCAGTTTTTCTTTTCGCATGTTGCCTATCTAACATGCAAAGTAATTTTCATTTTAAGATTAAAAATACTTTAGTGCATCAGAAATTTTTCAAATTTCATAAAATCTTTATAATGTCCAGATAGTTATCAAACGTTCCTTAAGAAATAACTTTATATTTTATCTGTTATTTTCAGTAACAAATCTCAATATGGGTTTGGTCGAATTGACCAATCATGTAACCACATTAAAAAATTAGGAAATAAATGTAAGTTATGCCTTTTTCATTCTAGAATGACTAAAAATTACAACACAAAAACATAAAATGTTTAGACTAAATAGCTTAAATCTCATAACATTATACATTTATATATATTTATTATTTTTATTATATTGACTTTTCAGTCATATCTGGCTAACAATACAGAAGTTAAAATGATGTGGTGCATGTGCACTCATGTTACCATGTCCAATAATATAAAACTGACCTTTAGTCTTTAGAAAGTGACCTGTCTTGGCTGTGTTTTAATGGACTAGTATTTTGTAAATTCATGCAATAGTAGTTAAATAAAACTCTGAATGTGAGTCAACAAATACAAGGACATGCCTTTCACCTGTGACCCAACTGGAAAGGGTTAATACTGTATACTATTTCTTGTAATGCATCCACATTGAACCTTTCCCTGTTATTATAGAAATATTGAGTCTTTCCAGTTTAATACTTACATCTAACATTAAACATTCATACAGTAACAGTGTATATACAGTTTAACAAACTCACTTATGCCCTCTCAAGGTCTTTACACACTGCCAGTTGTTTGTTGTCCAAACACAAATTGTTCCATCTTCACTGCCACTAACCAGATGAGAACTATCCAGAAACTCCATACAAGTAACTGTACCTAAAAATATCATAACAAGAACTGTAAGTTTGTAACTACTTCAAATTAAACAGCATAAAAATGATAACTTCTACAAACTTTAAATAAAACCACACACTTTTGTAAAAAATATGTTCTTATTGGGAAAATAGAAAAAAAATATTAATAACATATATTGTATGATTAGAAAGAAGTGGTTAACTGCAGTTCACACAGTGTATGGTTAAAATATATTTTAAATTTCAAGTAACTAAAACAAATACAAATAACATTAAAAACAGATTAGTAAAGTGTATGATATGAGTTAAAGGTAAACAATGAAAAGTTCAATGAGATACAATGCAAAGAAAAAAATATTTAGAAAAAATCTAGAGATAAATTTACAATATTGTTGTAACCAGTATGTTGAATATCTTAAGATCATGAGTTGTACTAAACAATTTTCTGAGGAACTTACCATCATGTTGAATAAGTGTCCCAACTTCTTGACGAGTTTTCATATTAAACAATCTAATGGTTTCATCTGCACCTCCAGATGCTAAGTGCTTAGTGCTAGAAGCCAAACTACGGACAGATGCTGTGTGTCCATGATTTGTGAAGCTGGTTTGGAGACTATATCCAATCTAAAAAAAAGTGTTATGAAATGTACACATACAGAGGAACTTGAAGCTGAAGTGAAGATTATAGCCATACTGAAAGAACAGTCAACTGTGCAACATATGAAATATATAGTTGGTGTGAATGTGCTTTGTAGTCACCAATACTAAGTTTATTCATTATTTGCAATATATAATATCTGTTTTTTTAAGTCCTTCTTAACTCATCATATAGTAACCAAAATTAATTTAGGTGTAGAATAATATTATGGCATTGCCCCTAATATATTATTTGGAGGTATACAGTGGACCAACTGTTTAATGATTATGTTACAGGTTTAATTTAGGTTACTGTTGGTGAATTAAAAAGAACTAAAAAACCTCATAAATGTCATATACACATCACCATTACAAAAGGCTTTGCTGTATTTCTATGGTTTGCTGAACTAAGCTGTCCTGATCAGCCTTGAATAGGTGAAACTACAGTCCACAACAGATGGTGCAGTGAATCAAACAAGGCCTTAGGCCTCTAATTACAGATTATATCTTAAATTTTACCTTTGGTGAAAAGAAAATATATATGTAATATAAGTATAAAACATATGACTATCCTGAATAACTTGCACTGAAATGTACATACTTCGGGTATTTGAAGCTGGGTTAGATTAACTGTCATGAAATAATAAAATCATAAGCCAAAGATACATGTACAGAACACTGAAACATTTGCAAATCTCTTACCAGAGCTCAATATTTAAACATGAAGTTATTCTAGTAGTCTGTTTATTGACTCTTTATAACGCTAATATTCTCCATATAATCAAGAGACCAAAACTATATAAAGTACTCTAAATAAGGCCTCGATGTTTTAAACAAGATCATATGAATGAGCAAGAAAACAGAAAACCATTCTAGTCACTATTTATCCATCAAAATATCAAACCCAAATTAAATGTAATCCTTCACTTTTATGCACTTCTCCAACAAGATTGCACTGACTACCCATATATAATTTTGCTTAAGAGAAAGTACACATTAAGACTTCCTATTGAAGTCCTTAAATTTGTCAGGATGTATGCAACTCTGGATCTCTGGAAAAAGACAAGGGCTTCTCCCAAATGTGTACAGCCTTTCATCCGCAAATCAGTAGAGAAACTGGTAGCAGGAACTTGTCAGCACTATTTTAATATAGAGATTAGTTAAAACAAGTAAATCCACTAGTGTTCAAAAGGATAGCTAAAGAAGTGGCCCATTTCCTCAAGTATTTCAAGAAAGTTGTTGCTGGAATGGATGAATTTAGGGACATGCAGTGAAACATGTAATGGTCTTTACACTTGATAAGGTTCATTTCAACAACTTGGAACACAGTTGTCAATTAGTTGTACTAACAAGGACAGAGCAGTCAGTAGGTCCTAGTTCATGCCAGTCCATGAAAACTTGGTCATTTATGCAGACATAGGAGGTGAATGGAAAGGCATTCCCAGGCATGTCTCCCATAGATTGTGATAAGATAGTCATCAACAAGCTCAAACCCATTTGGCACCACATAGGTAAGAGTACAATGTGGTTTGAAGTTTCAAATCAAAATATGCAGTAGAGCAGGAAACAAAACCAGCAGTAGTTACATTTGCAGCTGAAGATTCAGCTCTGAGACAGCTTCCAGGGTCCACAATGGGCTCTGATGCATGACAAAATTGTTAACACCAGCTCCTAAGCTACATGCTATGAAGCATTACAGCACAGCCACTATGGTTCCCTATAGGACAACAGATCTTTCTTGGTCCAACTGTAATGCCTGTGCCACAAATGCAGCCAAAGTAGACTCCCAGTGGTGCTTAAGATCATGAGGGAAAAAAGCCCATTTCATTTGTAGGTTACCTGGTTGCTGAATCCACAAATCGTCATATCCTCTTCCAGACATAGCCAGCAAACACGAGTACCTTCCAGACAGATACATAACAGGTGCAGGAAAGTCATTTTAAATTAACAGGGCCTGAATTGTGTCTGGTTGCCAACCTAGATAAAACAGCCATTGGATCCCACACAACTTCGTGATAGCTAATTTGGAGAACCATAAACTGAGAGTCACAAAGTATGTACTGATAGCAATACATGGATGAAACATTGAGTTTTTAGTAGATACTGGGACAGCCAGAATATTATTAGCTTGGCCAGTCTGCACAAACTTCATTCTGGCAAATGGTAACATGCTAAGAGTGAGTGGAGAAGAATGTCTCAAATTTTGTTTTGAAATTGGTAAGTCTTAGGGACAGACTTATTGCTATTCAGTTTTGCTTATGCAGCAGTTTAACTGTGGTCCTGCAGCAAAAAACCATTCAGTCCAATCCAATCCTTGGCAGTTATTTTGATTTAAAATTTTTTAGGCCTTTTTGCTTGCAGAATTAGGGTATATTCTTTTATTAAATGAAGTATGTTTTAAGCTAGTGACGTAGATATTAAGTAGCTTGGTTAAGATTTACTAGTCAGGTGTAAAGGTTATTAAATTGGGTATGTTAAGTGGTTGATTTGACTAGTGTGTGCAGTAAGTGTGGCTAAAAAAGGCATTGCCTCAAGGCACCTGGGAAAGCTGTGAATGTCTCAAACTGTGAACAAAAAGTTGCTATAAGGAGGTGGTAGGCTCGAAGTGTTGATGTAGACCAAAGCCATGACACAAGAAACAAGTTCAAAGCAATATGTGATCTATAAATGAAGTATGATAAAACAAGAATTAAGCAATGACCTGGAAATAGAGAATTTTTAGTAGACTTGAAATTGTTTTACACAACATTATGTATATGGATTACCTTGTTAAGTACTGCCTAGAATCTAGCAATAATTTTGTTTAGACATTTAATCTTAATTCTTTACTTTTTTAATTAGTAGAATGGTCCCTTTTCAGAGCTTACAATCAGTTACACTATAGAGTCAGTTTCATCAGAAATGTATTAGTGAAAAATCCCATAAGCACCAAACCACCCTTAAAACCATTCACTGCTGATCAGGATGAGCTTATAAATAATTTACTGCATGCATGAATGTTGAAAATCATGTGGAAATGACCCTGAACATGAAAGCCGTATTTTGTGGTGTACTACAATTGCAGACTAGTTCATTTTCACCATCTTCTGTAGTAATAGATCTGATGCGTCTGATATACACTTTTCTGTCAAGAAAATAAACTTCATTTGCTTAAACAGTGATTTGTCTAAGTGTAGGTGTTGTACCAGCGCTAGTCTGTAACTACTGACAATTAGCTATTCAGCTTCCAACTGGAATAGTCATTGATATGGTAACAGAAGCAGCTCTCAGCTCTCGCAGAAAGCACAATGGAAGAATGGTTAGTGTTATATATGAGAACGAACACTAAACTTCCAGAGCATCTTAAGCCTATAGTTTAGTACTGTGCAAAGAATCTGAACTCCACACAAAGACATGAACTCCGTGAATTGCTCAGGGAGTTTACTGACACATATCATATAGATACAGGTGTCATATATATCCAAATAAACAATCACTGCTCAGGTTTCCTTGAATGACAGAATTATAAAACCTTTGGAAAATGTGCAATTATTTTCAGTGGTAGCTGTTGGAAAGATGTGGAAAGCCAAGGTTCTGTATGGACTTAAACAGATGAAGTTGGTAGCATGCAGCAACTCCTTTCCTTTCCTATGCATAGATGAATGTTTAGATTTGGGGAAGACATTCCTTGTTTCAATACATCAGACTGGTTTCTTGGTATTCCAAGTCAAATTGCCATCAGTATTTAGAAATAACTGTATGAATTTCTGCATCATACCATTTGGTCTATGTGATGCATCCACTGACAGGACTGTAATAAGAAAACCACAGTTGAAAACATGAGAATGGTGTTCCAGCATATCAAAGATGCAGATATGAAATTGAAACAGAATATACCAGCTCATGGAAACAGTTTCTCAATCATATAGTTGGTAAAAATGGAGTATCGACTGATCTCGTAAAGATTGCAATGTTTAAGGAATGGCTTCTGTCTTCAGCTTTCTAGGTTGTACATTGTACTACTGTCAATGTAAGGCAAATTTCTCCTCATTAGCCACACTGTTATTTACACTGACTAAGACTTATGCAAACTTTATAAGGTCTCTGGAATGTGAAAAAGCATTTCAGCCCTTAAAATATGCTTTGGTCAAAGCGCTTGTATTGACTTATCCTCATCAAGGTTGTCTATTCATCCTGGATACAAATGCCAGTGATAGTGGAATTGTGGATTTGGTATAATTTTGTCACAAGTACAAGAAGGCATGAAGCACATGCAAGCCCTAAGTTAAATGTATCACAACTAATGAGCACCTTTTAGGTGTCAAATGAGCACCTGAATATCAAATTTAATTTACAACTCAGAAATAAGTTAGAATTTATATTTTCTCATTTTATAAAATGTACTTTTTGTAATTTGCAAAGAAAAATTACAAAAATGTTCAAACTTAAATTTCTGCTCAGGTCTGAGAAGTCTCACCTACAAACAACACACTTGTTGATTATTTTTTTGTTTTTTAAGAAATATTTTGCCCATCTCACAGTATAGGTTTATCATTGCTTCAGAATATAATTATATAACTGTTTCTTTCATGAGTTTTTTACTCTGAGGTTTTATCAATTACAGCTCTTCATTCTTACCCTTTTGTGAAGTTACACCATGTGGTCTGGTTAATAATTAATGAAGCACATTTTTAAAATAAGTACAGGATAAGCATAAGTACCATTGATCATTGAACAGAGCATTATGCAACTATTTACATCAAATTAGAGTAAATAAACTGGTATGAGCAGAAGTTCATTGCTTCATGGGAAAGTGATTAGATGAAGCTCCTGCAGGGATGACTAAAGGAATCTAATGGAAATTTAGAGACCTTAAGAGCATACCACTGATCTCAGAATGTTTTGTAGTTTCCTTAAGACATTCTCTTCATTCTTAGAAATGTTTTCATGTAAAATTACATATATTTAAAAACTATAGAAATTTTCTCCTGTGACAAGACATCAGGTAA